CACTTCGTTATAGAATTTTTGAAAATACCATTCTAATGTAATACTTTTCGTACTTTAAATGTTGTAATAATTGAGGGAATGGGCGGAATAAAGATCTAATTACAAAGTCTTAATTTTAATAAAAATTAAAATAACTTGTTACTTTTTTATTATACATATATATTATTATATTAGGTGTTGGAATTAATTCGTAGCGTTTTTTAATGAAAGAATGTTATTTATTTCACATGAGCATTAAAAAATACATTAATGAAAGTACTTCCCATCACTTGTAAAACGCTACGAATTAATTCCAACACCTAATACATAAACTAATAGACTCAAATAAGGGATAGTATCAAATAAATTTATGTAATGTCCTTAAGAAGTTACATGTTACAATATACTGAGTGTAGAAAAAGTCCCGGACTCTTTAAATATCTTGAAAAGTAATCATTTTTAAGAAAAATGTTATATATAATATTATACAAAAGTTGTAGGGATGAAAATCTCTCATGACTGACCTTATCAATTGGACCTTGGATGGCGCCAAGGTCAAGTCAAGGTCAAATCGATTTTTTAATCAAAATACCCTATTCTTTATTTTAGAATCTAATAGCTGAAGTCAGGAGCTTTCCAAAACACTATAATAAAGCCTCTTTTTAATCAGTACATTTCAACTTATGAGAGTTGAAAATTACGGATCCACCGGCATTAGTATTACGTAGAGATTATCCGACTGGATTTATGAGTTCATGTATGTGCCCGCGAATGTCTGTATCTCTATCTCCTGCTCCCTCCTATCCTTTCCTTCTTCTCTCTCCCCTTTCCCACCTACTCCTTTCCATCCCCACTCCCTCCTTCCCATCCTTTCAACAAAATTGGAAACTATATAAACTAGAGATGTGTCCTGTCAAGTTCACTCTTTCTGTGACGTGCGAATGAGAAAGTATATTTTTTTGTGATACTCCGTTCTGAGATTGCTTATCGCCACATAGTTATATTTGTTTATAACGTATTTATTTAAAATATTTTATAATGCTTACACTGAACAGGAGCGTATATCCCTTTTAATGATGTGAGGTTGGATCATAGGAAGTCTTACGCACATGTGATAGAATTTTTCAATCTTTTAGGAATGAGGACAAGGTATATATAAATGGACTGTTATTCCTACTGTACAACGTTTTGAAGAAATAGGTTTTGTAAAAGACCGTAATAGACAAGGTAGATCAATAGCGACAAATCCTGATAAAAGATTAAATGTTCTACAGTCTTTTATCGAAGATCCGCGTAATTCAATTCGCAAAGTTGCATAATAACACGACATCGATCCTACATTAATTCATAAAATTCTAATAAGAAATTTCATCCATACAAGATCCATCTGGCACAAAAACTATGTGAAGATGATTTTGATTGTCGCACTGAATTTTGCGAAAGTATGGTGTTAAATATCGATAGAAATCTTTCATTTGTAGTCAACATTATTTTTTCAGATGAAGCTACTTTTGAGCTAACCGGGAATGTAAATCGACATAATTGAAGCAGATATTGGAACGATATCCTTCCGAAAATCCTCATTGGATGTACGAGGCACATACTCAGAATCAGTAAAAAGTCAACGTATGGAATTTAGCCACGTATGGAAATAAAGCCATTATTGGGCCTTTCTTTAATAAAGATAATTTAAATGCTGACAATTACTTAGCCATGTTTCAAAATGAAATGGTTCCGGCAATTTGAAACATCGTTCGTCAGAAATTCAATGACATTTGGTTTCAGCAAGATGGGGCGCCACCTCACTATGGTTTACGAATACGCCAATATCTGAATGAAATTTTTCCGAATAGGTGGATAGAAAAAAGGGATTACATTGAATGGTCAGCATGATCGCTTCATCTAAATTCACTTGACTACTTTTTGTGGGGATATTTATAAGGGAAAAATTTATAATACTAAACCTCGAAATCTTAATGATTTATGTCAATGAATAATAAATGAATTTAGAATCATGCCTCGTGAATTTTGTAGAAATGCAGTCTTAAGTTTTTATAATCATCTAGCACATTGTCAGACTGCGGAGAGATTTGAATATTTGCTATAATATGTAATATTCTTTTAACTCTAGCTCGTCATATTGGGAAATGACGTATCTAATGCGATTTTTCACATTGCATTTCAGATTTTTTATGATTTAATTTAAGAATAAAATATTTTTTGTTTCATCTTTGTTTATTTGTTCTTGTCTTACTCTAGAGATATCAATTTTGCATGTGATAAGTTAAAAATATATTTTCTGTTCAGAGATATAACTTGACGAAGTTCCAGATCCCGGTGAGATCTAGCCGCGAAAGTAACTAAAAACTGGTATATAAGGTGAACTGGGTTAAAGGAATGACAAATGCTCAAACTAATGACAGTTAATTTAGATATACCATTGTCTTTATTTCAAAAAATTGATTGAAAAGTCTTGTCGCTTGCGTAAGACTTTATGACCATCCCATTCTCATTAAAAGGAATACGAGCACCTTAGCTTAGGTAATGCTAATACGGCGACGGTTCCGTAACTTTCAACTCTCATAACTTCAAAGTACTGATTAAAAAGAGGCTTTATTATAGTATTTTGGAAAGCTTCTTACTTATTTATTAGATTCTAAAAAGTATTTCGTTTAAAAAATCGATTTGACCTTGACTTGACCTTGGTGGCGTCATCCAAGATCAAATTGATAAGGTCAATAAATCATTTTCAACCCTACAATTTTTGTATAAAACAATAATTTTCTCAAAAATGATTACTTTTCAAGACATTTAAGGGATCCGGGACTTTTTCTACATTCTATTTCCCTATTATGATCAATATTATATAAAAAAAACTAATTTCTTGAGACAGGACCTAAGACAGGACCTAGAGTTGCCTTCATTCATCTTCTGCAAAAGCTTCGACATTATTTCTAAGTGGACACCGAGAAACTTATCAAAGTTTTTTAAAAAACAGGCCGCCATGTTCTTTTTCCGAGTCATTAACAAATTGGTACTCTGGAATTATGGGCAATTATTTTTCATTGTACGGAATAGTATAAATTTCAAATCAAATTCAAATACACGACTTTTATGTTTTGTGTATTAAGAATAACATATCGCATTTACGAAGACAAGTCAATAAGTTCTTAGAAAATCTATCAGAGGGAATTCGCAGTGTCACGTTACATCACTTTTTGACAAATAGCATCTTTCAACTGATTACTGTCAAATTTTGAGCGGAATTCATCGCGTAGTTTCATTTCTATAGACAATTAAAGCGAACAACTTTTTGGAAAAAAACGAATTTCGTGCAGTGACGAACATCTACATATGAAAGGTTTAACGCCGAAAGAAATCAAAGCTGAGTTGGATAATGTTCATAGCATATCTGGACCAGAGTTTGCGATTGTATACAATTGGATGAATGAATGTAAACGTGATCGTACATATACGTGTGATATACCTCATTTGGGACGTCTAATTGAAGCTGCTACGTCAGAAATCATCGATAAAGTCCACGATATTGTTTTGACTGATCGACGAGTGAAAGTGCGCAAGCTTGTTGAGGCCACAGGCATATCACATAGTATAGTACAGTGATTCCAATTTTGCACGAACAATTGAGTATGAAAAAGTTATCGGCAAGATGAGTGCCGCGTTTGCTCACTGTGAACCATAAGCGCGATCGTGTGACGATTTAAAAACAATGTTTGGAGATGTTTCAATATAATCCAGATGAATTTCTGCATCGATTCATTACTATGGACGAAACATACATCCATTACTTCACACCCGAGACAAAGGAACAGGCAAAACAATGGACTTCACCGAGTGAACCAGCTTCGAAGAAGGCGAAGACCGTGAAGTCGGCCGGAAAGATGATAGCCACAGTTTGTTGGGATGCACATGATATAATTCATATCGATTATCTTTCGTCGAAGCAAACGATCAATGGCAATTACTACGCAGCCTTATTGGATCGTTTCAATAACATTTTAAAGAAAAAATGTTCCCATTTGGCGAAGAAGAAAATGTTCTTCCATCAAGACAATGCACGAGTTTACACGTGCTCGGCATTGATGACCAAATTCAACGAATTCCGCTACGAATTGCTTCCCCATATTCGCCAGATTTAGCTCCCTGTAACTATTTCCTGTTTTGAAACCTGAAGAAATGATTCGGAGGAAAAAGATTCACCAGAGAGCAGCTCATCGCCGAAATAGAGACTTATTTTGAAGGATTGAACAAATCTTATTATTCGAACGGCTTGAAAGTTGAAGAATCGTTGGATCAAGTGTATCGAGCTGAAAGGAGATTATGTTGAGAAATAAAAATGAATCGATCAAAAAAAAATGTGTTTTACTATTTTCTAAAAACCTATTGACTTGCCCTCGTATTTTCTAAAATGAAATTGTAATCTGTTCTACTTGTATGTATGTATATTCGTTTTGACCTCGCTTCAGTAACATATGAATTACTTTTTTATGGTAACATATTATATTAAATTTAGGAAATATATATACTTTATGTATGTTCACTTTGAACTGGCATCTAATAATATATCAGTTACTTGTCATGGTAATATATTATCAGATAATCATTTAAATTTTAAAAGCTTTACATTTTTGAGAATACGCTTTATATATGTTCAAACTAGGACCTTGAATAATATTTATATCAATTACTTTTCATGGTTTATTACATATAGAAAACTATTTATCTTTTTTTAAACATCACTAAGATGAGAATTCAAATATTTGTTAAAATTTTAGGCTTTACAATTAAATTTTGCAAAATTTAAAAAAGAAGGGATTTATCGTTTTTCTTTCAGCAGAACATTAATATTAATTTAAATGAGGAAATGTTAATATTAATTTAAATGAGAAAATATTAATGATTTCAAATCTTGTTTAATTAAATGGGAAGTTAACTTCTGCGAAAGTATTGTAAAGATATTTTATTAGCACTTTATATTTATTAAATGAATTTTATTTTAGAAAAAATCGCCAAGACACTGGGTACTCGACATCCAGCTCTCGTAATTCTAGTAAGCATGACAAGTTTGAAGAATTAAAAAAATTGTCATGTAGAGAGGAAACTAAACGTGGCACTTCTAATGAAAGACGTAAAAGAAGAAAGAACAGAATGTCTTTTGAAAAAAGCGAAAGGAAGTCGATAATGATTAAAAATGACAATAATTTCGACAGAAACTCCATTCAAAAGTTCGATATTGAAAATGAATCCTCCAGTGAAGAATCAGCTGAATGTAAAGTTGTCAGAGAAGACAGTGAATCGAAATCCAATAGAAGGAGGTAAGTTGTTGAAATGTTAAGATAAAATCCACAAAGACCTTATTATAAGTGCTGGAGAAAGAAAGCCTTTAATAGTATTGTATTATGTGCTAAAATTTTTAATACACAATGGTTTAAAAAATGTTGCATTTTTCTTTTGAAACTATTTTTAATCCAGAATGCTTTTTTCCAGAACTAATAAAATTAATAAATTCTTTAAAGTAAAAAAATTAGTTTGTGAACTTTAAAAAAGTATATCTTTAATTCAAGTTTTTTATACACTTTAATAAATACTAAAACACAAAAATAAGAAATCTAGCACATTTAGCACATAAAAAACACTTAATTCTAATAGTCTTTAGTAGTCATTTCGATTTCTTGCCGAATGGATACTAATTAGCTCCACAGAAGTATAACTTTTTGTATTTTTACAGTGGGCGTAAGCATGCTCATCGAAAGTGCAGACAAAGCAGAAATTAATAACAGAATTTGGGTATTGCTATATTATTGATTATTTAGTACAATTCTAGTCATATATATTTCTTTTATACAGAATTAATGGCAACGCAGTATTTATTTCAAAAACAAATTTTTATCGAAAGAGAATGCTAAATAAAATTTTTAAAGTCAAATAAGGAAATATTGTTTCAATGTTGCGGCAGCTTTAATAATCCATATAAGAAAATCAACATATTAAGAATGTGATTTAGTTTGGAGGCTTTGCAAAAGATGGCACACACTAATGTTAGTGTTGTCGAAGACATTCTAATCACAGGTATTATTCCTTATTTTTTTAATATTATTAAATGATATTTAGTCTTTTATTAACAATGGACACAGTAAACATCATGTTTATGCCATTTTTAAATTGGAGCTTCCTGAAGAGCATTTTCGATATATGCGATACTCTTATTTTTTAATGAGAAGAAAACGGCAGCTGAAGATCATAGAATTCTGATAGAAACTTATGGTGATGTTGTTCCATTAATTAAGATATATGAATATTGATTCTGTCGTGGTTGATTCAAAAGTGATGATTTTAATATTAATGATAAAAGCTGGAAAATGCAGATTTGGTAGTATTATTAAATAAAAATCCAGCACAATTCACTTCAGAACTTGCCAGAGAATTACATGTTGATTACAATAGTTATTAAATATTTACGTGATATGTTGCTTATATAAATCAGTTTTTGAGAAAAAAATCTCACTACTAAATTACACTAATAGATTCAACGTTGAAAAAGCATTTTTACACTTCAACATTCAATATTACAACATCTTAACAACGTTTTTTCTCAATGTTTTATACAAAATGAGATCTTGACATGAAAATAATGACAATATAGCATATAGCATATTAATTTTGAATTAACATCTCGGAAACGTTGAATTGTAAATGTTGCCTCAACATCCAAATAAAACAGCAGCGCCTGTAAAGTGCTAAAAAGGCACTTAAAAGCACTTTTTTACGATTTTTTAACGTTTTGTAGTGTGCTTCTTGGTATCTTAAGATTTAGTTTTACATTGAAAAAACATTACAGAAACGTCCTATGTCCGTTGAATTTACAAATCAATGTTAATCTAACATTGACTCGAAATATGCAGTGTAGATTTTATGATTATTTGAATCAATATTTATTCAACATTTATTGAATTTATAAATTTAGATTTATATGTATAATAGATAGATATGTATATGTATAACATATGTAGTTTCGTACGGAAATCTTTGAAGCTCTCGTCAAATGATTTGTGATTCATAAAAATCTTAGAGCGCGACTTTTTAATGGAGTGATGAACATCCACCATCTCTTTGGCCACCGAAATCTGCAAACATTCCGACAGCAGAAAGTTGTAAACTTCATGGATTATTATTTACTTATCCCCAAAATTGAACTAACTAAAAAGTAAATAATTCGTTAGTTCAAATAATTATTTTTTAAATATTCAAAATTGTCATTAAAATTAATGGAATTGATGGAATAGACAATTCACGCGTTTAACACTCTCTCTTCCTAAGGGCGTTTTCACGATTAACCTAAACTATTCCTATCCAGATCTATCCAATCTAAGCTATCACAGAGCAGCTTCTACATTTTTGTATTTCTTTTCCATTCTACTTATCCGTATTTAATCTCAGTTGGTTTTGTTCCATGATCTCTTCCCATCTTCCTTTGTCATAATCAATGACAACTGATTCTACGCATATTGTCTCTCCACTTGCACATACATGTACACACATACATACACAGATGAACACTCGTCCCATGACAATATTCTCTTGCAGTACAAAAATGTAATTAGCTTTTAATGAGTTTATTAATTTGTAACTTGTAATAGTTAATCATCACCAGCAGTTTGTAAATTAGATTTAATGATTTTTCTTTCATGTATTAATAATTGTAATAGAATTATTATGAACTTTTATTAAATGATAAGTTTGCGTCTCTAATAATGGATTACATTATTTAATTAGCAAGTAGCGTTTTTAGCTATATATCATATTTTATTCATGTAATTATTGCTCCAAATCTATTCTAATATAGACAAAGATTAATGATTTGGACTTTTTTTTCACTTTCTTCCATTATTAAATTTCACGTGCGTTTCTTTGAGCTCTTAAACAAAAAGTAAAATAATTAAACGGTTATCCACACAATCAATTTTTATACAACTAATTACATTAATGTAACTTTCACATATCAACAATAGATTGTTTACCAATAAATTTTAGATGTTAACCAACTTAAATCTCTCTCTTAATTTAAAGCTCAAGATTTCGTAATCATCACTTCTGCTTTACAAAGATTGCACGTGGTTCTGAGTTGTAGAGATTAAGTTACATAACTCGAAATTTGGACCGACGATCGCACTGCTCGTCAGAAACAAATGTTATAGGTAGAGTTCAGAAAAAGGACAGGATAACGTAAAATTCAGATACCCGCACACTCGTGCATATGGATCTGAATTGGTTCCGCGGGTACACACTAATTCGGGTACTCCCAAAATCGCATACGATACAGGTACCCGAGAAACCATCTCAATGCGGATCTATTATATGATACAGATATTTGTGCATAATTTTGTTAATTTTAAAGATTTATGCTTTAGAATCGTTTATAATAATTCTCGTTTGTAGTTAATTAGTTTAAATTATATACTAACTTTTAAAATAATTAACTATAAACGAAAGGAAACAATTTTGAATTAAGATATGTTATTAATATTATTGAGGATTTCACGAATGCTTTCTATATAAAGATAATGCGTTTCACGGGTTTTCTTCGTGTCCAGACCATTAGAATGCCAATGTCTCGTAAACCTTAAAGTCCACTTCATCAGGCTGAATCTCACCTTAATGAAGTGGACTGCAAGCTTCACGAAACGTTGGCATACTAAGAATGGAACTGAACACAAAGAAAATCTGCGAAATGCATAATTTTTATATACATGTATGTTACTAATTTTTTTCTTCTTTGCCCTAAAGTTAGATGACTGTCACAGAAAGACTGTCACAAATAGAAGACAGACAGGTTGTAATACTGCCACAGACAGACAGATAAACTGCCAGACGATCACAGCCAAACAGACAGATAGACTGTCAAATTGTCGCAATAAGATGAACAGACAGACTGTTAGACTGTAACAGACAATGGGACAGACTGTTAAACTACCACAGACAGACAAACTGAATGACAGACTGTCACAAACAGATGGACAATTTGTCAGAATGTCACAGAATGACAGTCAGTCTGTCACAGACAGAAAGACTGTCAAACTGTTACAAACATACAGACAAATAGTCAAATTGTCATAGCCAAACAGACAAATTGTCAGAATGTCGCAGCCAGACAGACAAACTGATAGACAGTCACAGACACAGAGAGACTGTCAGACAGTCACAAACACACAGACTGTCAGACTGTCACAGACAAACCGACAGACAGAATGTCAGACTGTTACATACAGACAGACAGAATGTAAAATCTGTGACACAGCAGACAGACAGACTCAAACTGTCACAGACAGCAAGACACATTGTCAGACTGTCACAGACAAACAGATTGTCAAAACGTCACAAACAAATGACAGACTGTTACAGACAAACTATCAGACTATCATAGATAGACTGGCAGACTATTACACACAGACAGACAGGCAGACTGTCAAATTGTCACAGAAAGACAGATGATCAGACGATCACAGACAGACAGACAGACAGACAGATTGTCGGATTGTCACAGACAGATAGACTGTCAGATTGTCATGGACAGACAAAAGACTATCAGACTGTTACAGACAAATAGATAAACAGCCAGACAGACAACCATAAACACACAGACAGACATGCTGTCAGAATGTCACAGAAAGGCAGTCAGACAGTGAGACTATTACATACAGACAATCAAACTGTCACAGACAGAGTGTCAGTCTGTCACGGATGGACAGACAAACTGTCAGATTGTCACAGCCAAACACATTGACAGACTGTCACAGACAGTCAGATAGACTGTCAGACTGTCTCACAGATAGACAGATTGTCAGACCATCACAATCAGACAGACGGACGGCCAAACAAACTGACTATCAGACTACAACAGAGAAACTGATTGTCCTACTGTTACAGACAGATGGATAGAATGTCAGACTGTTATAGACAGACAGACACACTGTCAGATTGTCACAGCCATACAGACAAACTGACAGATAAACTGACCGTCTCAAACGTAGACCGTCTCAAACGTAGACTGTCTCAAACGTAGACCGTCTCAAACAGACAGCCTGTCATAGTGTCACAGACAGACAAACATATTGTCAGACTGTCACAGACAGACAGACTGTGAGACTATCACAGAGTGTTAGACTGTCACAGTCAGACAGACTGTCAGAATGTCACAGACAGATGGACTGTCAGACTGTCACATATAGACAAACTGTCAGATTGTCACAGACAGACAGACAAATATACTGCCAGATTGTCACTGACTTTCAGTCTGTCCCTGACACATAGACAAACGGATC